GAGTGATAATGGAAATACATTGCTCTATTCATAGAGTAAAATTTAACTAACTGTCTAACAAACTAACAACATAACAAATTAAAGAAGGAACTAAAAGAAGCTAGAATTTGGAAGAAGGAACTAGAAGGATATGGAATTGGCGCCATATTCAGTGGAGGTGAGCTACTGGTTTGCTGGGCATGCTGAATGTGTGAGGAGCTAATGCTGGATTGTTGTAGGTTAAATATGCAACTTGCATATATTCCAACATAAAAAGTACGAAAAAATATTTTTGCCTCATTTTAAAACATGGAAATAAAATATATTAACATAAATCATAATCAATGACGAGATGTACTAATTAATGGAAGGTTGAAGATAAGATTTCCACGAAAAAAATTAAGAAAATAATTGCTACAACGAGCAAAGATCAAGAAACTTAACTGCAATTAAAATGTGGTGTAACAAACAAAAATTGTAGTTGCACCAAAATGGCCATTATCCCATTTCTTGCATTAGTAGGTAATAAACAATTAAAGATGGAGAAAAAGGAAGATGGTGAATGTGACTTAGCATTATTGCATTGTGAGACAATATGTGCACTAAGCACACTAACAAAGATGAAAATCACATAATTTTATTTTGAAAAAAATAAAAGAATGAATTTGCGAGTTGAACAAATTCTGATAGAGAAGAAAATATAAATTGCACTAAATGGCTACCTGTTAGATTGACGACCTGGGTTTGTGAAGCAGTTCTTGTCGCCTCAATGTATTTCTTTAGATATTTCACACATCATAGGATTATAAATTAATGCTAAAATCTAAACTCCGTGAAATATTTTATTTTATTCATGACATTTGATCTATGAACATCTCAACACCTTACATTTCATCTGTCAAGAACGAGATTTTCAGATTGGGAGAATTTAGCATTTAATGCATTTTGATGGAATTTAAATTGTTACATAGGGTATTTTGGTTTAAATTTTAGTAAAATGGACAAATTCAGGATATTTTTGCAGATAACAATGTTAAAGTAGATTTTTTTTTTTTTTTACAATTTCCTCTTTTTGCATATCCAAAGTATATTATTTCAGTCATACTGCATGTATATCATCATTTACTTAATTTTTTATATTTTACCACATGGCAACAAATAATTGGACAGTTTAAATTTTTGATAATTTTTTCACTCAATCAACACTTGTCAATCATAATGTCAAAAAGAATGTACAAGTGATATTTTCCATATTTTATTGACACATCTCACAAGATTAATAATTATTATTTACATATAAAATTTATAATTAGTACTTAAATTTTATTTTTAATCACTCAAAATGCACTATGGCCTTGTTTGAGCCCCATTATTTGGAAAAAAAAATGCATTTTTGAATATTGATTGATGGAGAACTGTGTGGTTAAAAAATAAGGAAAAATTTTGAGTTTACGTGTAATATTATTTTATTAAACAATATATGGTTGAAAAGAAAAAAGAGAAAAATATATTTTGAAAATAATGGGGATCAAACGAGGGCTACATCTTATCTTGTCTATCCGATCAAAACCAAAATTGACCTGGCGATTTAAAATATTATTGTGATGCCAAAATTAATTGGGATTTAAAATATATTGTAATTCAATAAATAACTATATAGATTTTAACAATCACGAAATCTAATATATATCGAGATCCAAAGCAGATTGTACAATTGCTTCTAATTTTGCAAATTGCTCTTTAACTAAAAGGAAAGTAATATTGAAAAAATTATTAGTTTTTATGGCTCTAATTGTTGGACGGTAAAAGATCAAGATATTCTATAAAGAATTTGATGAAAATAAAGACGTTAAGATGGATATGCGGAGTTGAGAATCAAAAAAGGAAGAAAATTTTGAATTATGTTATTTGTACATTGGTTGTTGATATCTTTGTTGACATTTAATGATGTGTAAAAATCTGTATCATTGATTGTTTTAAGTGTTATTAAAATCGATGGCAAAAATGTTAACTATCTCACACGTTGTGTCAACCAAACTATACCTGTAGCAAAACTGTAAAAAATTAGGTGCTTTGGGTCAGAATTTCTATCGACGTGAGAGCATCTCCAACGAATTCGTACTAATCCACCGTGTAGATCAAATGCCTATATATATATATATATGAGAGAGAGAGAGAGAGAGAGTAGCACACTCCTTGATATCTGTCTCATATTGTGTGACAATGAATATTGCTTTCAATCACTTCAAAGTAATTTAATCGAAATGAATATATTCTTGCTATGAGGAAAAAGTATAAAATTGTGTAATTTGTACTCTGATTCATTATATATATATGAGAGAGAGAGAGAAAATAAGAAACATATGTAACATTGCGGTGACTTGAATCTAATCACGAACAAAGTAAAATGGCAAAAAACTCTTCATGTAACCGACTTCAAATAATGAGAATCAGACTTTAATTTTCCTTTTAAAAATTTAAATTTTGTGTATTTATATTCTTTTTATTACCAATTTCTTTTATTTTATATTTTGTGTTTTTGTGTATCGAAAATCCAAGAAAATTCGTTAATTTTCTTATTGTATTTTTTTCTCTTTAAACAAAGAGATCATATCGCGACACTTAAAAGTTCAATCTTCAATTTCGTCACGATGACTAAAGTTCAGTCCTTATTTTTTATTTCACTTAACCAGGTAATCCTTCAAAGTAAATTGCATTTACGTATAATCTTTATGATAACATTTTTTTGGTTTCAGTCAAACACGAATTAACCCATAAGATGTTTCCTCAAAGAAAATAAACCCTAAGGAGTGTAGTTTCACTCTTGTGGTCGTCTCTATCTCACCGTGTATTGCCAGCTTTCTCTCTCCCATCTACACATAAATTAATTTTTTGTCACCCCAAGATTTTAGACAGGCATCCCAGACACTTCTCAACCAAACACTCAAAACAAAAATATCTTGTGTTCGATGAGAAAGTCGATCTAGATCTTGAGCTCAAGTCATTATATTATACGTACTGTCTACTTTTGAAGAGTTTTAAGTCCATCTTACCCATCATGCTCCAAGAGTTCGAATTAATATATTTGCTTTATGAGAGACTTGTGTCGAATCATCATTCAAATATCTTGTGTTCAATGAGAAAGTATATCTTCTGAGTGATTGCACGCCCTATATGTTTGTCCCTAAGGAGAAGTGTTTTGTATGTGTAACACGAAATGATAGGTTAAACTATTTACCTTTTAATCAAATAAGCAAATGTTTGTCTTCTATTTTTTTCAAAACTCTATTAGTAGGTAATAAACAATTAAAGATGGAGAAAAAGGAAGATGGTGAATGTGACTTAGCATTATTGCATTGTGAGACAATATGTGCACTAAGCACACTAACAAAGATGAAAATCACATAATTTTATTTTGAAAAAAATAAAAGAATGAATTTGCGAGTTGAACAAATTCTGATAGAGAAGAAAAATGTGATATAAATTGCACTAAATGGCTACCTGTTAGATTGACGACCTGGGTTTGTGAAGCAGTTCTTGTCGCCTCAATGTATTTCTTTAGATATTTCACACATCATAGGATTATAAATTAATGCTAAAATCTAAACTCCGTGAAATATTTTATTTTATTCATGACATTTGATCTATGAACATCTCAACACCTTACATTTCATCTGTCAAGAACGAGATTTTCAGATTGGGAGAATTTAGCATTTAATGCATTTTGATGGAATTTAAATTGTTACATAGGGTATTTTGGTTTAAATTTTAGTAAAATGGACAAATTCAAGATATTTTTGCAGATAACAATGTTAAAGTAGATTTTTTTTTTTTACAATTTCCTCTTTTAGCATATCCAAAGTATATTATTTGAGTCATACTGCATGTATATCATCATTTACTTAATTTTTTACATTTTACCACATGGCAACAAATAATTGGACAGTTTAAATTTTTGATAATTTTTTCACTCAATCAACACTTGTCAATCATAATGTCAAAAAGAATGTACAAGTGATATTTTCCATATTTTATTGACACATCTCACAAGATTAATAATTATTATTTACATATAAAATTTATAATTAGTACTTAAATTTTATTTTTAATCACTCAAAATGCACTATGGCCTTGTTTGAGCCCCATTATTTGGAAAAAAAAATGCATTTTTGAATATTGATTGATGGAGAACTGTGTGGTTAAAAAATAAGGAAAAATTTTGAGTTTACGTGTAATATTATTTTATTAAACAATATATGGTTGAAAAGAAAAAAGAGAAAAATATATTTTGAAAATAATGGGGATCAAACGAGGGCTACATCTTATCTTGTCTATCCGATCAAAACCAAAATTGACCTGGCGATTTAAAATATTATTGTGATGCCAAAATTAATTGGGATTTAAAATATATTGTAATTCAATAAATAACATATATCTAAAATTGTTAGTGCTTTCCTAATATATATCGAGATCCAAAGCAGATTGTACAATTGCTTCTAATTTTGCAAATTGCTTTTTAACTAAAAGGAAAGTATATTGAAAAAATGATTAGTTTTTATGGCTCTAATTGTTGGACGGTAAAAGATCAAGATATTCTATAAAGAATTTGGTGAAAATAAAGACGTTAAGATGGATATGCGGAGTTGAGAATCAAAAAAGGAATAAAAATTTGAATTATGCTATTTGTACATTGGTTGTTGACATTTAATGATGTGTAAAAATTTGTATCATTAATTGTTTTAAGTGTTATTAAAATCGATGATAAAAATGTTGACAATCTCACACGCTGTGTCAACCAAACTATACCTGTAGCAAAACTGTAAAAAATTAGGTGCTTTGGGTCAGAATTTCTATCGACGTGAGAGCATCTCCAACGAATTCATGTATTGCAGTCAAACACTAGTCAACCCATAAGATGTTTCCTCAAAGAAAATAAACCCTAACGAGTGTAGTTTCACTCTTGTGATCGTCTCTATCTCACCGACTATTGCCAGCTTTCTCTTTTCCATCTACAGTAAATATTAATATAAATTAACATTTTTGTCGCGACGAGCAGGGAATTCCGCATGCCAGTTGGGCGTCATTCCCAGGCTATTCAATGAATCAACATCAAGAGACTGAAGTACCTGATAGTTGAACATCAACACAAGTTCAAACCAAAACTAACAATTTTCCCCAAGTTTTGGGACAATTCGATTAGTCATTGAACAATGAATGAAAGGGGATGGCAGAAACCATTTTCTCATCTGTATCTGATAGATTTTATGAGCTCAAAATTGACAGAAATTGAACGCTAAGTACAGATCACCCTGATAAATTTTAAACGAGAAAAAAAAAAAACCCTTTTTTTGAAAATAATATTTCTAACCATCGAAGTGTTCTTATAAAAGTTTTGACTTTTTAAGATATTCCATTTTTCATGGAAGCTGATGACCTTGTGAATTGTGATTTCTCTCTTATGTCTCGCCCTCCCCACTTCCGCATGCGCTCTGTTGTTTGCTCAACCTGCAGTTCGTAATTTCTTCATAAAAATGCGAGATGTTGTATATATATGATTATATTATTTTCAATCAAAGTAAAACTAAGAAATATGAATAACCTGCGACATCATCTGATGATTGCAACACAGACATGAAAAATATTTTATAGAATTTAGGAGAAGAAAAGCAAAACGAGAAATCATGCCTATGCATGTGTGCGCAAGCATCGTCAATGTGAAGATTAACTATATGATTAGCATGATGGAAAACAATATTCTCAACAATGTGAAGAAACAGTTAACACTGACCTCCTTGATCCAATTGGTTTTGTAGAGTACCAGCACCAGCAGCAAGGTTTGCAGACCTACTCCAGCTATCATGCCACCCCAGAGTCCCTACAAAGGAAAATTGAGTAATACTAAACCAAGAAAAACAAATCACCTATAAATGTTGGGGATTAGATAAGATTCTTTAAACAATTCTATTAAGAACAGAAAAATTCCAAATTTTAGGACTGCGGTCCATAAGTGTATATTAGATATACCAAGTTATAGCTGACAACCCGAGATATTATTTTGGCAAAAGATGAACATCAGATTCAAAATTCTCTCTCGACTCATTCTTTTTCTGATTATATTGATGCACATTAGCATAATGGAGAGGTTCAAGTAAAAAATTATTTACCATCACTCCTAAATGAGCCACATAGCCAAGAAAATACCCGAGAGGAAGACCAAAAACGTAGTAACAAGCCAAGTTGATGTAGGCTACTAGAGCTTGCCACCCACCTCCGATGGCAACACCTGCAAAATGGCTCGGGAAAAAAATTAAGATGGGAGAGCAAGGGAACGTGATGTGTATGTATCCATTGAATGACATTGATAATTGAATCATACCTGATATCACGGGTTGGACACTATTGAGAAGCATTGTAACTCCAAGGAGGACAGAAAGGTGAGCAACGGCACGTTGCATAGTTTCGCTATGAGTAAAAATAATTCCAAAATGATTTCTTGTTGCTAGGACAATTATCATGCACAAAATCCCAATCAAGAGTGATTGAAAGACTGTGACATAGACAGAATATTTTGTTGCTCTTGGATGTCCTAAGCCAAGCTCATTTGAGACACGAACACTGGCATAGAAAAAACATTAGGCAGTGAAATTGTGGAGTTCGATGGAAGTTTCCAGAAGACGTTTACGAACAAAACAGACTGTGGACTATATCATTTTCACCTAGAGTTCAATTGAAGTCACAATCAAGCTAAAATCAAAAGAGAAGTTTTGATAAGCATCTTTTGGCTTTTTACCTTATAGCAGCATTGACTCCAATGAACAACATGCTTTCCCATCCATTAATGTTCATGCTGAAAGATTACACCAGACGAAAAGATTAGCATATGAAAAGAAATCGAGCATAAAAAATTAAGGCTAGTAATAACTAAAATAGACAGTTCATTGAAGACCAATTTCCAAAATCATTACACTAAAATGTGGACTTGTTAAACTCACCAAATAGTAAGGGAACCAACTGCAGTTACTGCATTATCAAAATTCCCAGCTAGTACAATGATACTCATCATGTACCATATCTCGAGGCACAGCATGACAGCTGATGCAAGGGAGAGTCTCACAAAGGACCACAAATCTTTAAATGCGGCCAAAGAAAATCCCTTCCAGCCATCCTTGCACCAACCAACCACATAAACAAATTGTGCAAAGGCCGTGAACCAACTTGTAAGGTCGAATGCTCCGGCTGCACCAATTGGTCCCCAGCCGAATACATAAATAAATAGCCAACATAGAAAAGTTTGTGCAACCAATGAAAAAGCTGCGATCCATGCAAGCACGAGGACTTTGCTCTGGGCTTGAAGAAACTTTTGAGTCGGAAAAGTGACAGCGAGGGAAAACAATTGAGGGGAAACCAGAAGTGTATATACTCCTGCAGGATTTGCTATGTCGTCCTCTTGTCCAAGCAGCTTCAGAATTGGGGTCGCAAACACATAGAGGGGCAACAGGAGAAGACAAGTGGCGAATAGGATTATTATCGAACGTTGCATGTATATACCAAGCATATGAGTTTGTCCAGCACCAAATGCCTGACCACACAGTGTCTCAAGGGCACTCCCCATACCGAGCTAGAAATATTGCGAAATTCTTATCAAACTTTGCTAAATTTCAAGATCAGGCAAACTCATAAATATACCGAATCATGAATTAAAGTAGTATACATATGACAAGAACAGGAACAAGAACGGTAAACATAGGCCCATATATTATTATAGAATCTGAAGCAGAAGCAATAATCTTAATCATCTTTTTTACCGTAAATAACCAAATATTAAAGTTAAAACAAGATTCCACTTTTATGGAAAAAAATAATGAAGAATAAAATCATTAAGTGACCCAACAATAGATAAAATAAAAACGATAAGAAGAAAAAGATTCATCCAGAGACCAGAAGCAGTATGTTTTGCTAACAGTCGAAGTAACTTTTTTTTTATTTTTCTGTCCATGAATATTTGATTTACTTGTTAACTTACTTATTTTTTACTTGGACAGCAGCACCCTGCCAACCCCCTTTGCAATAATCAAACCTCATTGATTTGTATACTCGTTATCATCGCAATATTGAGAACTAAATGATACTCCTACCTATAATTGCATCAAGAAAAAAGTTGCAACCTCATTATACGTCTTAGCTACATGTATATATATATATGGGTTGAGAGGCTAACCAGGAGACCAAACGCGAAGGTGCTGACAACGGACAGAGCAATAGAGAAGGCGGAGAGTTCGATATCTCCGAGGTGGCCGACAAACATGGTGGTGACAGAGACACATCCGAACTGACAAAGAATTTGAAAGGCTATTGGGCCGCCGATTTTCCATAGCTTTACAGTCTCTATGCAGAAAACTTTCCACCATGGTTTCAGCCCTCGTATCCGGAGATAATCGCCGTCGTCCCCGATAAGCTGCAACTCGTCTGAGTTCCGAACAAGAAGCGGTGCCCCATCCATTTCGGTCGGAGGGAAGTCGAGGATAGAATAACAGAGAATAAATTATTTGAATTATTTGGCTTTGTGCTTGCACCGTTTGTAACGTGATTAGCTCGTTTGGGAAGTGATATTGTGAAATATATTTTCTATTTTAGACACTGGATAGAACCACAATACTATCCATTTGTAATAAATGTAAATTTTAATTTAATTTCTTTCAAAATAGAAGCCAATTTTGAATTTGGTGATTTATTGTAATTAGATAAAGATATAGATTTTAATATTTTCGAAGCTTATCGTAATAAATATTAATTTATTTATTTTTATCTAAAAAAAGCTAAAAGACAAATTTTACAACACAAGCAGCCTTGTTATGACACTAAAGAGTGAGTTTGATTGACATAGAAAATATATTTTAGAAAAGAAAATATTTTCCTTATTTCGAGGAAAACAAAAATATACTCCTCCAAATAAAATGTTTTCCTTAAAAACAAGGAAAATTATACATATTCTTAAAAGTTGAAAAATATTTTCCATGAAAAAAATATGTATCAAATACTTCAAAGAAGGAAGTTGGGTAGAAAATTGACATTTTTTATTAAAAATATGTGCAATCAAACACACCATAATTGTTGGGCTCTTAACGATCTAGATATTCTACAATGAATTTGGTGGAGTTAAGGATGTTAAGATGGATGTTGTGTGCAGTTAATTTGAATAATATTTTTTTCGTCGACATATAGATGCCTACTTAAATAAGAGTGACATAATTTCAACGAACATGTTAAAAGACAAAAATGTAAACTAATAAGAATAAACCCACAATGAACATTAAACATTTATTTAATTTAGATATCATATTATGCACTTGTTTGAGCCTCATTTTGGGTTAAAAGTGTATTTTGGAATAATAATTTTTTTGAGAATTTGTGAATAAAAAAAAAAAAGAAAAAATTTTCGATGAAAATTATTTTACCAAATTGTTTATACGCTTTTGTGTATTTATATTCTTTTAATAACAAATTCTTTGTTTTATATTTTGTATATTTGTATATCCAAAATCAAGTAAAATAGTTAATTTTTTTTCATAATTTCTTTCACTTTAATCAAAGATAAATATCTTAAAGATCAACTTAGGTTAAGGGGAATTTCATCTTGAAATTATTAGACCGTTTAAGAGGAGTGACCAAATACTTATATGTTGTATGTGTTGTGTATTTATTTTGTCATTGTCCATTTATTATACGTAAAATTTACATAGTTACACTTAATCGGGTAATCCATAAAATCCAAGTGAAAATTGTGTTTAATTATATTCTATTTCATAACTTTTTTGGTTTCAATCAAACACTAATTATGAACCATTAGATGCAAGTGAATATAGTTATTCACTTATGCTCTTTATGATAACTTTTTGGAAAAAAAAAAATCGTAATTATCAACGTTTATGACGTGATATTTTTGTCTTTCGAATTTTAGTTTTCCTTTAAGTTATGATGACCACGTACAAAATGGATTGTGTTTGACGTATGTATTGTCCTCAAAATGGAGTCAAAATTTGATAAGTGTTGAGTGATTAGAGACAAATTAAATGTGATATATATCTCCCTTACGAACTTAGCTGTGAAAACACGGCTGAGTTATTGTAAAAAAACTCATCAAAATTTCATCGAAATTTACTATTAGAGTCGATCAAAAGAGACATCTCCGACCTGTACAAGTAATTGAGCTTCGACATCAACAATATTCCTTTGATCGAATCAAATTTGAATGGAGATTGCGCGAAATACTCAAGCCTAAAATAATTATTTCTATAAATACTAAAAGTTTATATACTAATTTATATATATTTAAAATGTTAGTTTCATGTTTTAACCTTCTTAGGTGAACGACGCGACGACATCTATGATTTTCTGTTAAGAAATTGACTAACAAACAAGCATCTTTTTCGTGTTGGCAGAGCCATCATATGACAGATTACATCCCTTTATTTTTATTTTTTCATTCTTTTAAGGAGGAAAATCCATAACCAATTCCTACTCCCGAAAAGATAACTCTTTAACATTTTAATAATAGGAGGATGCTAAATAGAATTATTCAAGAAATCGTTGTTTTAAAATGTTCGTTTAAGTGCAAATTTTGACATTGTCGCCAGGGGCGGACCTAGACGTTTCGTATTGTGGGGTCGAAAATAAAAATTCAAAAATGTTTGGAACAACATATCATTAACGAAAAAAAAGTCGATACACTACTATAACAATAAAATACGGATTTTCGTTTAAAATATTTACCGTTAAAAAAAAATCAATACATAAATAAATACTTATTTTTTCAGTTTTCATAAAAAATATTTTTGAAATTTTCAGATAACTTCAGTGACCATTTGTGAAATTAACCCAAATGTAAACTAATAAGAATAAACCCACAATGAACATTAAACATTTATTTATTTTAGATATCATATTATGCACTTGTTTGAGCCTCATTTTGGGTTAAAAGTGTATTTTGGAATAATAATTTTTTTGAGAATTTGTGAATAAAAAAAAAAAGAAAAAATTTTCGATTAAAATTATTTTATTAAAGAATGTGTGGTTGAGAATGAACCTCTGTTTGTCTATCATTCTTTCAAAAAATTATTTATACAGTAAGATTTTTCACCACACATTTACCAAATAAAGTATTTTACACACAAATCAATAAAGTTACTTTATTTTTCAACCACACACTTCAAAAAATACTATTTATTACTCTATTTTTCTCCCAATAATGTGAGGCAAACAACACCCTGTGTTTTGTAAAAATTAATTTTTGGAAAAATGAGCCTCAATTAAGGGCTATATCTAAATTTAAATTTGTAGAGGAGTAAAGCTTTTGTGTATTTATATTCTTTTAATAACAAATTCTTTGTTGGGAAGTCTACATAAATCCTGGTTTTATTTATACACATTTCAAAAT